AACATACTAGGAAGATATCTTCCACAGTAATGAAACCTTCCATATACTTAAAGTGTTCAAACTTTTGGAGTGTGAATCCTAATCCAGTACAACAATGCTGATTTTTTGTTTTTCTTCAGCAACCCTGGGAGCTCAAAAATATTGAGAAAAGAACATATTCAACCTCAACAAAGACATGCTTGTCTCAAAGAGTAGAAGACAAATGATATTGCTGCTGACATTGTGCCATGGAATTTCACACCTCTTTTACTTTTCTCTGCGATTGCTGCCTGCAGCCATGGCTGCCAAATGGCATGTGTCTGACTTGGTGCAAGAAAGCACCAGCATGGCCTCTTTGGTTAGTGCAAGGAATGACTGCCCCAGGATGGCTGCCAGCTTGGTGAAGCAGTGGTTGCTAAAGCTCAAGGGTGCCACTTTGTCAGCCACAGACTTGGTCACTTTGACCCAGCACTTGGAGCAGCTTACTTTGCCTGAAGGTAGCAAACAGTCTATGCTGGAGGCTGTGGATGAGCTGGTGATCTCTGGGGGCAACCTACAGTCTTCAATGAAGTTGACACAAATGCCTCAAAAGCATGACTTCATCCACAACTACCTCACCCAGAATGATTGGAACACCTTGCATACCCAGGGGTTGTGGGCAGGAGTGAAAACCTTGGTTGCTCGCCTGAGAAAGATTGGGGTGAATTCTTGCAAAGAAGGAATCAAGAGGCAAGTGCTGGCAATTCTGGTGATGATAGAATGTCAGCAAAGGAAGATGCCACCATATGAGGAAATCTATGAGCTTGGTGACCATTTCTCTCAAGCTTTCAATGCCAGTTCATATCGATGTGCCCAAGGAGTACCATCTTTGGCTGAATACCCAGAAAATCCTGAGCAGGTTGGACCCAACTTTGTGTCCTTGGCTTACCCAGCTGGTGAACCACCTGTGGCCAAGCACCTCGAGGACATCAACTACATTGCCTGGAACCATATTCCTTTGAGAGATACTTCAAAGCTGCTCAAAAAGAACCAGAAGAAGAATGGCACAAGGAGAAGGTACAAGGATGAGTCTGATGATGATGATGATGATTGTCAGAGAGCCCACATCCTGCTCAAGAAGGCAAAGGAATTGATGAACAGTGATGATGGTGATTTGGCTTTGGCTTTGAAAGCTGAGAAATTCAAGCCCAAGAGATTCAAAGCCTTGCCTTCCCAGTCTTCTTTCAGTTCTGGCAGTGGGGCAGCTGGAAGTGCACAAGCAAGTCCTACCCCAAGCCAAGTGCCCATGCAGCCACTCCCCCCAAGACAGGCACAATTGCCTCTTGCTTTGCCTGCACCTGCACCTACAGATCAACCCACAGCCCAGCCAGAAGCATCCTCTTCTAGCAGACAAGAAAAGACTGCTGAAGAATTGGAAGAGGAAGCCTTTGCAAACCTTTCCAAAAAGCCAGCCCCAAAGGGAAACCCAAAGGCAAAAGCAAAAGGAAAGGCTGCTGGCAAAGGAGTCCTGAAGAGACCTGCTGCCAGGGCACCTCCTCCCAGGCAAGTCTCAGCAGGTTCTGCAGCAGTAGTGAGGCCAGGGTGCATGAGGTGTCGAGGAAACACAAATGGCTGTGATGTTTGCTTGAGAGAGAGCTTCCAGGGTGCTCGATGCCATGGCAGAGAAGCTTGGAAGGCAGAACTTGCCAAAAGAGGCAGAAGCTGGAAGTAGAAACAAGCTTTGGCATGGGGTGCTGGAAAGTTCAGGGTGAGAGACTTTCCCCACAACATCCTGATTGGCTGGTGCTTTCCCACAGCAAAGGGTAGCCAGCTGTTTGTCCAGATCTGCAAACCAAGCTCTTGGGTCTCCAAAAAAGCTTGCACTTCAAACCTTATCAGGTTAGTGATTTAGCTTTGCCAGGCTGCAGCTGAACATTCCTAGTGACCAGTGACCTTAGAAGGTTGTGCATACTTGTGTTTTTGCTTTTTCTTTTTGACTTAGCCTTGCCAGGCTGCAGCCCAACATTGCTACTAGCCTTAACAGGCTTTTGTGCATGCCTAAGCCTTTGCAGGCTACCTTCCTTGGCCATTCTTCCATAGCCAGTGCAGGCTACACTCCCCAACCCTGCATGTTGTGGAGCTGATGGGCATGCACCCATGCCAAAGAACATACTTTGAATCAGTATGTGTCTGCAATTTGTACATGTTTAGCTTCAAAGTATACAGAGGGCACCCTGCTGCAAACACAAGCAAAAGCAAAACCAAAATAACTTTGAATGGTGTGTGTATTTCAAACTGGAAGGCCACTGCTATTACCAAACCATTGCAAGCATAAACTGTGTTGGCATGTTCAAAAGATTGCTTCCAAAACAACCTTGTTGCAACCCAAGAATGCACATCCAGCCATGGAAGAGACCAAAGTCAAATTCAGAAAGCTGGAGGATTTGAGAAGGTCTACCCCCTACTGTTCACAAACTTCCTTGTCTGCAATCATTGCACACATCAAAGAACATGGGCTTCCAGAAGTTTCTTCAAGGTCCAGTATGTCCAGGGCTTGTTCTGCTGCTTTGGAAGGTGACTTTCATTATGGCCCTCTACAGCTGGACATTGAATTGGAGTTGAAGACTGGTGGCAAAACCACAGTGCCCTGCAACAATTTGCTATCTTATTTGGATGTGCTATACAGTAGAACTTCATCCTTCAAAGGTTTGCTGGACCAAAGGCATTCCACTGCTCCAAGCAGTGTTGACCACCCTTGGGGTTTAGTGATTTACACTGATGAGCTGGTTCCAGGCAACCCTTTGGGTCCTGGCTTGAGAAAAACTTGGTGCATTTATGGCACATTTGTGCAATTCTCTTTGGATGATTTGAGCAATGAGCTCAGCTGGCTTTCTTTACTTCATGTCAGATCCAGCATTATAGACAAAGTCAAAGGTGGGATTAGCCAACTTTTGAAGCAGTTGCTCAAGACCATATTCTTGGGGCCATGTGACCCCAGGTTTGGCTTGCTTCTTCCAGGTCCAGATGGAAGCAGTTTGAAGCTTTTTTTTGATTTGCAAGTCTTGCTGCAGGATGGTGGGAGCCACAAATATACTTGGAGCAACAAAGGGGATGCTGGCTTGAAACCATGCTTGCTTTGCAATGTACAAGCTGAGCCCAAAGGAGGTGATGAAACCCTGGCTGAAGGAGAGGCAATGGAATCCAGATTGGGTAATTGCAGCACTCTTTCAGCTTTGAAAGTTTTCAGCAATGAGGAGATCTTGGGTTCATATGACAGGTTGCAATCAAGACAGCAGTCAATGAAGAAGAAAGATTTTGGGTTGTGGCAAAAAGCAGTGGGCTTGACTTGGCAACCTTGTTTGCTACCTTTGGATGCAGAATTGAGGGCTGCTGATTTGGTCAGGCCAGCTTCTCAATATGGGCATGACTGGATGCATGCCTTTTGTTCAGGAGGTTGCATGAATGTTGCCATGTTTTATTTCCTTGAAGCCTTGCCCAAGGAAGTTTCTTGGATTTTTTTTGCAACCTATGTGCAGAAATGGAACATGCCCAAGCATTTGAATGCTACAAGCTTGCATTTGCTATTTGCAGACAAAAAAGTCAAAGGCTACAGAGAGAAAAACAAATTTACTTGCCAGGCTTCTGAAGTTTTGACATTGCTGCCTGTGATGGTTCACTTTTGCAAATCTGTTGTTCAGCCAGCAAATTGTGCACCAGATGCTTGCAAAGCTTTTCTGGCAGTGGCTACAGTGGTGCTCTTGTTGTCAGAGGGGCAGCAAGCTGGCATCACAACCCCTGGCCTTTTGCAAGAAGCAGTTGAGGCTTGCTTGGCAGCTTGTTTTGCAGCTGGCTGGGATTTGATACCAAAATACCATTGGCCTTTGCATATGCCTTCTCAACTTCAAAGATGGGGCAAGTTGTTGAGCTGCTTCACTTGTGAGAGAAAAACAAAATTGTCAAAAAGTGGGGAAACCCCATGCACAACACCAGCAACTTTGAAAGTGCTGTCAGGAAAGAAATCTTGGCAGAAGAAATTGCTAGGTTGCAAATGCCAGGTGTTTTCCAAGAAGGGCCTTGCCTTCTCAATCCACACCCAGCCACCAAGCAGCTCGCTGACTTTATATGTGAATGGATTGGCCAGCATGCCAATGTTTCCACAGGCTTGGTGTGCAAACTGCAGAATTGCAATCGATGCAGCAAGGGTGATATTGTGCTGCTACAGGGCGACATGGTTCAAGCAGCTCAAGTTTTTGCCTTTGTTACAGTGCCTGGGCATGTCCTCTGCTTGCTGCAATACTTGGATGTGGAAAATTGCAATTTGGAAACAGCTTCAGCCAATTGCACCTTGTCACCAACAAAGGATTTGGTGAGTGCTGAGTACTTGGAAGCTTCTGTTGCTTTTACAGAAGGCAAAGGCAATTCCTTCAAACTCTTGTTGCCTTGGCAGTGGGTGCAAAAGATGGAAATAGCTGTAAAAGGCTTGGGCTTTTGGTGATGCAGCTTTTCCAGGCTAGCAGCTGATATGCCTTGAAATGACAACAAAGCACTAGCCTGTCCAGGCTACCATTTGTGAATGGCCTGCAAAACAAGCCCTATAGGCTTTCCAGGTTGTCAAGTTTAGTGTCTCCAAATCATGATCATTTCAAAAATCTTGAAATCCACAGCAACATTTTTTTCCAAGCTATATACTTTTATTTTTGCCCCAAACACAAAAACCATGCAGGATTTTTTGAAAATCACAAATGCTCGATTTTTTTTGCTCAAAATGAAGACGTAATATCTTTTAACACCTCACTGTACAACACCAAAATACAATCATATTTTCCAAAAAACTATACATGTTTTTTTGTGGCTAACTCTTGCTAACTATTTAGCTAACTCTTTAGCTAACCCTTTAGCTAACCCTTTATCCTAACTCATCATAACTCAAGTTAACTCATGTTAACTTTTCTGCTAACTCTTCATAATTTATCTTAACTAACATAACACATGTTAAATCGTTAGCAACAACCAGATCTTCTAAGAAGGATCATCGTCTACCTTTAGTTTTCGTTTCGGCCGGGACATTCTCGTTTCATCTCCTTGAGCCTGCGCACGAACATCCATGCGAGCTTACATGAAGACCATGCGAGAAACACAACGGAAACAGCTCCTTACATTCTGCGAGAGAAGACAGATGCAGGGGTATATGTGCAGACAGATATGACAGCTATGAGATTCAGTTTGACATGTATTCGATTATAGAACCACATACACTGCCAGCATGGGCGTCTCCCCCGACCAAACCTTTTTTTTCGCGGATGTTGAGAGGTCAACTCCACACAGTCGTCGCCGAAGTACCTTTGATCACGCTATGACAATATCCCCTTGTCACAGGTGCTCTGTATCGTCGAACATAAACCTTCGAAGATGCGGCAGCCACTTAGGCTGCGGACTTGGCTCGACGCCGCTTAGGCGCAGGCTCCTGTGTGTCAGCTTCGCCCGTAGCGTTAGCTGCTTTTGCCTTGGGGACCGCAGCCTTCTTGGGCAAAGAGTTTCTCAACGCCTTTTGGCTTTCCGTGATTTGCTTTAAGGTTACCTTCAAGTCTCCACTCTCAAACGGCAGATCTTCCAAGCGTTCTGCTGCCTCTTGGGCAGACAGATTCTTGTTTCGTTCCTGCTCATTCACTGCCCTTCGACATTGCTGGCTCGAGCCACGCCGTCACGGTAACCAGCTTCTCTTGGCAAAGCTTCTCTGCCGCGGCATCGATGCCTTCCTTGCCCTCTGCTTTCGCCAGCAATTTCGTCAGCGCTGACTCAGCAGTGCTCAGCGGTCCCAATGCCTTGGCAGCGGCCGCAGCGACCTTGGCATTGTGCGTCGTACGCTTCCGCATTTCCTGCAGTTCCTTCTTCTCATTCTTCTCTTCTGTCTCGTGTCCTTTGGAGGTCGTACCTTCCGGAACATCGAGGGTATCGTCCTTCTTTTTGGTACCACGACGCTTGGTCGCTTCTTTCTCTTGTTGTAAGATTTTCTCTTCAACTGCCTCAAAGGCATCCTTCCACGATAACTTCGTGACAGGGACCTTGTAGACATCGCACCCATATGTCTCACTCTTTTCGACCTCGAAGCGCTGCACCACCTCCTGTTCCCAACCCTGTGCCAATAGCACGGACAAAGGCAATGGCGTAATTGTTGTGGTCGCAGCAAAGCTGGAAATGTGGCGCTCTGTCAGCTTGCGAAGTAGCGCTGCGCGGATCGTGGCCCATTGCAGGCTGCCTTTGTCGCCCTTTTGTTCCTGCAGCTTTTGGAAAAACGCGGAACAATCCTCCTGGGACCACGATCCGATCTCTGCAGTGCTTCCCAGGTTCCGATGCATGGCCCGTTCGATGGAAGCACATGGCTGGCATCGAAACGAACGGCCATGCACGCGACCAGCGTCAGCGGGTACAGACCGGTTGCACAGCTTGCAGACCATCTCTTGGACGGCCGGCTGCGCAGGTACTGGTGTCGACGCTGCCATTGTCACGACGGAGCTATAGGCCGGGCACACAGGATATTTGTAATCGCCTCTTGCTGGAGGCAAAAGCGCTGCGGCATGCATTGACTTAAACACGACCGTTTCTTTCTTTTCATATGCGTCTATCAGTCCAATGTCGTCCCATTCGAGACACAAAAAACAAATTATCGTTTTGTGTATTTAAGGACAGTCACAGGAACAAAATCAGCCATCCATCCATAGAATCGAAACTATAGAAAATCATGCATTGAACGCTTACTAGACTTTAGAGAGATTGCAACGCGTCACATCACAGAACAAATTGCAAATCCCCGGAAGTAGACACCGAACAGTCGGACTAAGTGCTTTGGAGTGGTTTTGGTCACAAAGGCCGCAGACATCTGGCAAACTTCAGACTTCTGTGCTCTCTCTGTCCGCAGACATCCGCAGACATGCAGACCCCTTCAGATCAGCCTTTTTCCTCGTCCGCAGACACCGCAGACACCGTGGCATGTCAGTTCCAGGCACTTTGGCCTTGTCCGCAGACATCCGCAGACATGTCGCGGAACAGTGCTGAAAACTCCGCCGACATCCGCAGACATCCGCAGACATCCGCAGACAGCACCAATCCACCGCTGCGTGACGTGCTGAACAGTCAAACTATCCTCTCTGCGCAATCCGTAGACTGCGTCTGGCTTCCCATAGAAGCCAGGCACCGCGCCGGCACCACTGAAATTCTCTGGCCCGATCAGGCTTGCGCGAGAAGTGCCAAGCTAAGATATTTAACCATTTGCTGCAGCGATATAAATCCGGCAGCAAATATTCTTGCTTCCACTGCACATGGTCATACCATGAGCTCGTCGCTTCCTGGTAGGAAGCCGGAAGCAAGCAAAACCCAGAGAGTTTCGGGTGCGCCTCAACATCTAACGGAGTTGCGCCCCAGTGCCCATACTTGAGCAAACTGCTGAGCCGCCGAAGCATTCGGCTATCATACGGCCTTCCGTGCGCAGTTGCCCATAAGGAGTGACAAATTTTTCCCCACGTAGAGGTAAATTCATCAAAGGGCTCCAGAGGAGTAACGTGGCAGATCACCTCATAGACTTCTTCCAGGCCTCGCGGAGACAGTGAAAAGGATGCATCTACCGCCATGACGACAGCTATGTCTTCGGCACGGAAGCTGCGGCGCGTAGCCGTAGCCTCCGAGTTCCCATGCGGCAGCGCCTACGGAACGACTGACGGTACTAAAAAGATAGTGCATGCGGTGTCTCTAGGTATGCCGTATGTGCGTCTGCACACATGAATGAAACGTGGTAAAACCAGAGTTGTTGAAGAATCTCATGTCGTGAGACATATCTGAGAGCACATGCATGCATGGAACTTGGCACGAAACGGCTACGGACGTACATGTAGGTGACACACGAAAAAAAACATGATTTGGCCCATCCGAGAGATTTATTTCTATATAATTACACGCACCATATAGCCGACCCGTCCGCTTCCCTTTTTTCTTGGCTCCCATGTGTTCCGCCAGTGCAGCTGTCTCGCTCCCGGCCACGTGGGCTCCCGGGAGATCGCAGCGACCGGGCGCGTGGCCCACGGTCACTACTCGAGTCCTTCTCCGGACTTCCCCCAGGCGGCGCAGCCTCCTTTGCCGGGCTTGGTCGCACGGCGGGTACCTCCGTCGGCGCCGCAGCTTCTGCGGCCGGCGGTAGCGACGCCGCCTTGGACGACCTACGGGCCGGTGCTCGCGAAGCCACAGATTTCTTCGGAGGCGGCGTTGGCTCCGGCTCGACCGGATCATCGTCTTCATGTTCTTCTTCCGTGCAGTAGGTGTACTCTGACTCCTCCTTCTCCGTCTCCTTCGGCGGCATGTTGTCCTGCGTTAACAGCAAATAACAGACAGAGATTTCCTATAACCTCGATCAGTATAGTGTCATTTCATTGCCGATATATATATATATATATATTCCGTTTCATAGTAACAATGTGTATTTTGGAAGCATCCCGGTCACGGTCCTTGCGTTCTCCTTCGCGATCTCGTCCGCGTTCTATATTGAGCCAAAAACCCTTTGGAAGTAAGACAGAGAATTGCAAATCCTTCCAGACAAACAAACGAAACCCACGAATACTCCCCGTACCAGTACTTGTTTCAAAAACATTCTATTTCAGAAGTTGTGGGGGACCAACATATAAACCAAAAGGCAGGACAGCGGTGCAGCTATGTGTTTTACCATTCTTAATATCACATGCCAGAATGTCGGATATTGCTACGATAAGGCAAAGAAAAGCCTGTACCCAATCTCTATAGAAGTGGAAGCACCTACCTGTCACAAGAATGACATCATACGGCAAAGCCCCGCTGAAACCAGCAGGACGGCGTGCAACCACTGGTAAACCGGCACTTCGCACAGCCACCAGAGAATTGCGCACGCAGCTTCTTCGGAACCAGCGCCAAGACATTCTTCCGACGCTCTGCGCGTGACACAGCGCCAGTACTCGGACTTCCCGTGGAAGTCCCGCGTGCAATCTGAGCGTCCTGCGCACATCCCTTAGACATTGTGCTGCGACGCGTAGTCGCAGCCGCAGGTCGCTTCATGACATCCTGGCGCGGCTTCCGAGCAGCGCTTTTTGCCTTGGGCTTGGCACGTGGCCTACCTTTCGGCTTTGGCGCCGCTGCAAGCTTCTTGGCAGAAGCGGGTCTTTTGAGATGCTTCTGCTTTTCTACGTCTCGTTCCAAATCTTTCCCATCCTTTCTCTCCATATCACCTCGCAGCGCAGCCAATTGTTCTGCAATGCTCATAGTCTCCGGACCACGTAGGTCCGGTTCCGGAGCAACAGCCTTCGAAGGCTCCTCTGCTGCGCCATCGCAAATTGCCAGCAAACTCGATGACGCTGCCACACGGTCTCCGGAACCACTCGATTGGTTTGACTGGCCTCGCGACAGCTGCACTTGCAAAGATTGGCTGCAGGCTGCAACCACCTTACACACATCATCCACAGCTAGAGTTCCACTTGGGAACCCTGCCGCAGGCATGACGGTCGTACCGACACCAGCCTCCTGCAGCAACCGATTATCTTTTCGTAATGGCATCCTTCGCACAAAATCGCAAATCTCCTTAGCCACCTCCCCCATGTCTGCTGGTCTCCCCGTAGGAAACACTCGCTTCAGCATCTCGGCTTCCATATCTTTCCACGATGGTGGCAGCTCCACCACTAAGACTTCTAAATTTATTTATTTTCACATCAGGCACTTAATGAAAATATTAGTAGTTATCTTAACTTATCATAGAAGTCATTTTTACTTATTTTCACTTATTTTCACTTAATTTAGGTTAATTTTTCATTATTTTTTACTGTTTAAAATTGATAAAAGACGAAAGATGTTTCTGTCATAGGGTTTTGTAAAACATCTTTGAATTAAAAAAATAAGAATGTTGCGTTTTCTTTTTTTGTTTGGATATTTTCATGGTTCCGATGCAAGATCTTCCTTGTCCTGTTAAATGTATCTTTTACAGGAAGTTTCCTTTTCAGGCATCATCTCTTTTCAGGAACTATCCTTTTCAGGAATTATTCTTTTCAGAATGAATCCTTTTCAGGAGTTATCCTTATCAGGAATTTTTCAATTCAGATTGAATCCTTTTTCAGGAATTTTCCTTTCCAGGAATTATCCTTTACAGGAAATGTCTTTTCGAAGACCTTTTTCCATTCAGATAATATTTGGTCACTTTTCCTTGTTTTGTCACAAGCTGGAAATTACTCACTTTCTTACTTTCTATAGTTTTAAAACTTTATCTTTATTGAAAATGTTATAAAAATGTTCATATTTTACTATTTTCTAAATTTATATTTTTATATACATTTTGGTCATTGATTTTCATATTTTTCACATTTTCATAATTTTCTAAAAATTATCTGCATTTTCGGAATGTTCTATTTTTTGGGAACTTTCTAAATCTTCTAAATTTTATATATCTATATGTATATATATATTTCTGAATATTGCGATTTTTTTCGAATTATCTAAATTTCCTAAATTCTCTGGATTTTCTGAAATTTTTGAATTTTCTGAATTTCAGAATTTTCATATTTTTTTCGTTTTTTTTTAATTGTCTGAATTTTCTGAATTTTCAAATTTTCTGAATTTTCTGAATTTTCTGAAATTTCTGAAATTTCTGAAATTTCTGAATTTTCTGAATTTTCTGAATTTTCTGAATTTTCAGAATTTTGTGAATTTTGTGAATTTTCTGAATTTTCTGAATTGTTTTCCTTTTAATTTAAATTGTAAATTCTGAATTTTCTGAATTTTCTGGGTTTCTGAATTTTCTGACTTTTCTGAATTTTCTGAATTTTCTGGGTTTCTGAATTTTGTGAATTTTCTGAGTTTTCTGAATTTTCTGAAATTTTTGAATTTTCTGAATTTTCTGAATTTTCTGAATTTTCTGTTTTTCCTAAATTTTCTGAATTTTCTGAATTTTCTGAATCTTCTGAATTTTGGATTTTTTTTAATTTTCTGACTCTTCTGAATTTTTAAAATTTTCTAAATTTTCTGATTTTTTTGTTTTTTCCGACTTTTCAATATTTTCTTCATTTTCTACATTTTCTCATTTTCAAAATTTTCTGACGTATATACATTAAAAATAATAAATTTGTTACCTTCTGTATGTTTAAGCATTATAAATTTTCTCAGTAAGTTACTTTTCTCCATTTATTTCTATTACAATCTTTTTTTGAGTGGTGTGTATTGTTTCTCAGATTTCTTATTACTCTGAATGTCTCAAACTTAATTTATATATATATTTGCAATATTTTTATATTTTATAATATTTTTTCTGCATAGTTTCAACTGAGTTGATCTGAAATTTTCTATTAGAATATATCGTAATGTTTGAGAAATTTAAAGAATTTGACTGTCAACAACTTCAAATGCGAATCCCTGGAAAACGTAAAGCTCAAGAAGCTACATTTTTTTTCTGGTGAAATATCATACTGAGTTTTTTTTATTTGTGAAAGAACTGCTTTTCATGAACATTATACTGCTCATATTTTTGCCTGCCCAGGAAGTATACATTACAGGAGGTCATCTTTTCAGAGAAAAAAGGGATACTAACTTTCCAGGAACTACTCCTTACAGGAAACATTATATATTCCAGATAATTTTTTCGTTATAAAAATTCCAATGCCCTTCCCTTTGAAGCCAAAATTGCTCCGTGGTAATCGACATCCATGTCCATCAATGTTGAAAACTGACAAAAAACATATTTTTACTTATTTTCGCTTCTTTCCCCTTATTTCAACTTATTTTTGAATAATATTCCACTATATTTACTTATATGCTCATTATTATGTTACAAGTTCACCTAAACGATTAGTGGAACTTAAAACAAAAAAATAAACAATTTAAACAAGATATTAGCAAGATAATAGCAACTTATAATATACTTATAACTTCATTAAGTGCCTGATGTGAAAATAAATAAATTTAGAAGTCTTAGCAGACACTTGCCATCTGCTTGAGCTATCAAATACTTTGTCACCTTCGGCTTGTGGCGACAAAACAAGTCGAACTGCTGCTTCGGAGCTAAGTCACCACGCTTACATGGTGACCAATGCGCCATGACAATCAAGGTGGCCTTGGTCGCCTCAGAAGCATTGCGCAACGTCAACTGCGCAGCGTGATGGCAGAGACGAAAAAGCAGCCGCTCAGCGTCTGCATTTGGATCACCAATCGCAGCCGCCAAATCATCACTTAGATAATGTGGCAACAGCGAAAAGTCCTGCGCCAACCCGCGCTGCTGATCCGTCTCCACCGGCTTCGTCTTCAAGGCAACCTTCTCCTGGAACGCATCCACGTGGGATGTGGACCAAAGATCAGGCTGCAAGAGGCCCAACACCGCAGCCGCTTGGGCAGCGGTGTACGCCGGCACTTTCTCCAAAGCCTTTTGCACTCCCAATGCCTGCTTTTCTCTGATCTCCTCGTAGGAGCTCAGAGACCGAATTCCTCGTAGGAATTTCTGCGCTGCATCTAGCTGCTTTTCTACGGACATACCTGCAATCCAAAATGGCTGCAAAACGTCCCACTTTCCCTCCTACCACCCAAAACACATTAAAAAACATAGGTTCAAAATTCGAACCTAAGTGCCAGCTAAGTGCCAGCTAAGTCCAACTCACTTAACTTAAAATCACTTAGCTCACTTATAAGTATTATAAATTCCTGGTAAGTTCCACCTAACCTCTAATCACTTAGCAGTCGCTTAACCACTTATAAAGCAACTTAAACATATACTTATCCACTTATAACTACACTTACTTTATAACTTATAAGTCCCTAAGTCCCCGGCAGGTCCAAAGTACTGATTTGTTTCGATGGCTTCGAGCCAAAGAAGCTCCAGCTAACCACCATATTTTCAATGGGGCCCTTGGGCCTCAGGCCCCTTCTGCGACCACTGCTCGTGAAGCTTTGGAAAAAAATCATGATTACTGGCACACTGTGTGGCATCGACCATGGCTTGACAATGAGCTTCCGGCCGCTGACTCCGTCCGCGAACATGACTTACCTCTTCGTCAAGAAAGACAAGTTGGACCTATTCAACTCCAAGACCATTATTTCTGCTGCCAAGAAGCAAAAGGGGAAGTCCGGTTCCTTGGACGGATGGGGCGGCACTGAAGTGGCACTCTGGCCCGTTTCCATGTGGACGTCTCTGCATGGCTTTCCAACACATGCAGATACTTTTCCAGCAGTTCCCGCTGAGTGGGCCATCTTAAAGCAAGCCCACATCCCCAAAGACAAGCCGGGCACAGCCCAAGATGGGGCTTGCAAGTGTGCTTCTACACTCAGACCTATTTCGGTACTTTCTGTTTTTTGGCGAATCTGGATTTCTGCCAAAATGAAGTTGCCTGAACTCCAGACTTGGTACGACTCGGTCCTGTGTCCTAGTCAATATGGCTGCCGACGCAAAACGAGATGCGCTGCAGGCGCTGATCCCTATGGGGCTGACCCACTCCAAAAATTGGTTCCTTACCAGCTTGGACCTAGCTCAAGCCTTTGATCGGCTGAAGCCGGAAAAGGCAGTTGCTTTGATGCGTCACCAAGGCCTGGATCGCGGTCTTGGGCGAAAACTTCTCACCTTCTGGACTTCGCAGCAACGTTTTCTTCATTTTGCCGGAAATTGCCGAAGAGAACCTGTGGCTGTTGATCCAGCCTCCCACAGGGATGTCCGATGTCGCCCTGGGCTATGAATGTTATTCTGGCTTGTTCTTTACATATCATTGAGCGACAGGAACCTCGGGCCACCCATGTCGTCTTCATGGACGACCGGTCCTTCGCCACCTCAACCGTAGCTCAAACCAAAGCTGTTTTGAGACTTTGGCGCACCCACTCCAGTCAACTGGGACTGAAAGAAATCCGGGAAAAGACCCAGGTTTCCAGCAGGCAGAAGAAAAAGAGAATGGAACTGAGTGAAGATTTTGAACTCGCTCCCCATGTCACTGATTGTTTGACCGCTTTAGGAGTTTCTTTTGCCCCGGGTAACAAGAAACCCAGCCCCAAAGAGTTTTCTCGTTTCGAAAGAGCCACTCAAACGGCCATTAAAGCACGGGCACTTCCGATTTCTGCCTGGCAGCGTCTGTTTACTGTCGCGTCGCTGCTACTGCTTCGGCCAAAGCGGCCTTCGGTTGGGTTCTCAGAGCGTCAACCAAAGCTATGACTTGCAAACTTGAGACCCAGCTGAGAGCGGCAGGTTGGAATCATCAACGCGCTGCAACTAATCTTGTTATGTTGCTGACTGGTCACACTTTGGATGTCAGATTCACGAGCGGACTCAGTGCACTCACTGCTATAAATCGATATCACAAATCAATTCAAACTGTTTCTGAGGGTTGGACTCTCAGGGGAGGGTTCGCAAGCCGAGCCCGTGCCTTTCTCAAAGGCCTGGGTTAGCGTGAAACAGGTGCTTGGCAATGGCAGTGTGGCAACCTCAGATTTTCATTGCATCCTGTCTCCAATGCTTTCCCCGCCACGGCTGACAAACTCCGACATGAGGTTCGAGAAACATGGCGTCAGTTTCAGTGGAATCAGTTTCTCAAAAAGGATCGGCTAGATGCTGGTCGATTATCTCATGTTCAACTTAATACCCAAAGACTCAAGGTTGTGATGCCTCTGGTCAAAGCTGGAGGAGCCCATGTTGCGGCCGTTTGCACTGGAGCCTTTGTTTCTATGACTAAATACCAAGCCATGGGTCTGGTCAGCGAGGCCACTTGTCCCTTTTGTTCTCACCCTGTTGCGAACACTGAACACCTGTACTGGAATATTGTCCGGTCACTAACCCGCAAAGGTATCGACCGGCAGATGACCTTGAAAAATGGCTGGCCGGTAACAAGCAACACGTCCCAATTGGGGCGCCTGGCTGAGGTCAGGGAACAAATGCTAAGGTGGTAGGAGGCCCCCTCTGGGGGCTTTCCCTTGCAGTGTGGCCCGGCGGCTGCTGCAGCTGCTGGTGGTCGCATTGCGCTTCTACTTCGCTCCGCACCCGCCGCTTTAGCGAGCCTTCTTTTCCACCCTCTGGAGCCACAAATCATTGGAAAAACACAGTGTTTCGCGACTTTCCTACCTTTTCGGGCACCTGGATCTTCTTTCTTCTGAGACTTTCTCTTCTCTGATCTTCTCTCTTCTGCTCTTCTCTTCTCTATTCTTCTGCTCCACCTCTGCTTTTCATCTGTCCATATCGTCGGAAGTTTGACTTCGATCATGTATCCGTGGTTCACAAACAATTCCTGGCTCCAAGATTTCGTAGATAGTGTTTTCTTAATGTGTTTTGGTGGAATTCCGTTTTGTGTTGATGAGCTCGATTAACCTTTTGGAATCTAATGTGGCAGCTTCTATACAATGATTTTGTAGCACACACCTTGTTGATTGATCATTGTCGGGAAATTCCCATAGTTTTTGCTAATATCTAATTACTAACGAAGTATTATTTGGGATGTTCCAGAAAGTTTTTTGATACTGCCCAAGTGACATTCACTCTTTTTGGGTTCGATCCAAAATGTTTAACTATGTTTTCATAAAGTGAAATCCCAAGTGGACGATGTTTGTTTTTTGTGTGTGTGTTTTTTTTTTTGTGTGTGTTTTCTCTGTTTTCTCCGATGAGGGTATGACATGCTCATTGAATTGTTATTACAGCTGATTCCCTCGACACATTCATTGGTTAAGTCCAAAGTGCTGATGGAGAAATCAAAAGCCTTGAAAATTGTCGGATGGTACAGTTGAAATTGACGGTAAAATCACAATTTAGTTATTCAGATCATTGTGTTCTACATGTGTATATATATATATGTGTATAGATGTATATCTACATATTATGTCATTTCAAAAACAAATTGCTGGTTCCGTAAGTTTTCTTCACTGTTGCATTCAACGACACTTGGCTCACTAAGGCCGTCGCTCTGTTGGGCCATGGTTCTTTTGGGCCACTGGGCAGCCAAGGGGCGGATTGACTCTGAACATTGGGAAGAAACGGCTGCTTCAGTTGAAGCAGCAACACATGGCTAATACAGATGTATCATCAAAGGAAGTTTAGTTTGAAAACTTCCGAGTGACAGACGATATGGTTAGCGGCCCACCATCATGTCAACCACAATCATGTCAAATCATCATGTCAACCACCCAACATCAAGTGGTTAGAATTCGGAAGTGTGTGAATTCACGGGTGAAAACATTCTCGGGTGCGAAACTCTACGTTTTTTTTTCGGAAAAGTGGCTGCTTAGGTCGCCGCAGTAGGGTCTCTGTTTCCGCGGTTCCGCGCGTCGATCTGGCAAAGTTGTCGACAAAAAGCGCACAGCACTGTAGCGAGAGCTGGATTGCACTTCAAAATTGTAAAAAACTGAGGTGCGCGGAGAACTTTTGGAAGATGAGGTCAGCAAAATGTGAACCAGACTTTACCAGCCTGTAGCGCGAGTTTGATTTGCACTTCAAAATCTTAAAAAAGGGATCGGAACAGCCTAAAAGTCCGGACTGTTGATGTTGCAGCGAATGTTGCTCGATTTTGTGCGCCGCTCCGGCTCTGCGGGTTTACAATCGGCTGTGAGACAACGCATTGGCACAGGATGAGTGTTGTGGCGACGCTCCGCTGGCAAGAAGGATTGCAGCTCGAGGTCGCTAAACGCATTGTAACAGCTGCGTGAAAGGTAGCCCCTGACCATAGTGCTGCTCTTGTGCTATGTGGGATTGCAGCTGGAGGCAGCAAAACGCATTGCAACAGCTGCACAAAGAGAAGACTTTGGTTGCAGAAGCTACAGCTAGCTGGGAGGCAGCTCAGGGCAAGTAGCCCAAATAAGTGGCTGCTCAGAGAAGAAGTAGCTGAGAGAAGAGGTGTTTGAGCAAAAAGGTCGGTGAGTGAAGAAGTATCTCAACAACGAAAAAGTAGCTCGCCCATCCATCCCTTCATTCACCCACCCATCCCTTCCTTCATTGGTTCATTGATTCATTGAATCATGGACTCATGGATTCACAAATTCATTGGTTCAGTCATTGTTTGATTCACTTAATCAGTGATTCATTGGTTCACTGATTCGCTGATTCATTGGTTCGCCGACTCACTCATTCACTCATTCACACTGATTCGTTGATTCATTCACTCAATGGTTCATTGACTCACTGATTCATTTTTTGGTTCGTCGACTCGTTGGTTCATTGGTTCATTCACCCCATTTCCTCATTCGTTGATGCACCTCACAACTTCAACATTTCATTGGTTCTGCATCGCAAAAACTTTCCTATGGCCATTGATTTCCTATAGCCATGTCCTTTCTTCGAAACTTCAACCCCGGCGCGGGCCGGGAACTACCTGGTATACGTAAAGGTTGTACTTATTTCTAATTCGTCTATATGCACCTGCTTACATACATCCATGCATGCATGCATACATACATGCATACATACATACCTACCTACATACATACATACATACATACATACATACATGTACACATACATACACAGACAGACAGACAGTCAGACAGACAGACAGACAGCCATGCATGCATGCATACAAACATACAAACATACAAACATACAAACATACAAACATACAAACATACAAACATACATACATACATACATACATACATACACACAGACACACATACAAACATACAGACCTACCTACCTACGTACATACGTACATACAGTACATACAGTACATACCATTGAGAAATGTCCGTGCGGGGCGCGATGGGAGAGGCCGGTGAAGCGAGAAAAAAAAGAATGCGAACTTCAGCTGGAATGCATGGAATTAGAATCCGGGTAGACTATGGTAATGGGCCAGGCACGCAGTATGATGATATTTCGGGTGTGATATCATTGTCTTCATGACTATGTTGGTTTGCGCGATGTTGAACGCGATCGTCTTGATTTTGGATTGAGTCGGTTGTGTTCATCATTTGCAAACTGTGATATGGGTGGAATATGAAGAGTGGATTTTATGAAGGTGTTTGCATTAAGTTGTTTTTGCCAGCATGGTCTGTCGGAACAGCATTTGGAACGATCCAGCTGTGGTCGTTTGGTGGCAGCGGTGCGTCGATGCAGTGGAGACAAAGGGTATGGTCAGAAAGCCGAAAGCGGTTTTTGGTATGTTCTGGATAATTGTTTGTGAAGCTTGTAGTTGCTTTGCAGTTGATGTGCACTGGGTTCTATGATGTGCTTTTTTTTCTGTTGCTGCCGTGTGTAAGTCTTGGCGACTGGAGTGCATCCTGCTGCAGGTCGGTGCTGGGCTATTCTATACAGGTGATTGGCAATGATGTTAGTGGATAAGGTGGGATGTGTATTGATGGGTGTGATTGCGTTTTGTGATGCTGTGTGTTGTCATTTTGCTGGTGAACATTTCAGTATAAGGTGACAGTGGGGGTGAGTCACATCTATTGTTGCATTGTCACTGGCTCGATTGTTGCAGCCTTCTTGGCCAAAGTCGAGTTGGAACCCGGTTTTTTCGTCTCTGATTCGGTGGCTGCTGTCATTCTGGCCTTTCTGTTTTTTCTGGAGATGATGCCGGTATTGAACAAGAGGATGCTGGAGAGCATGACGGATGAGAGCACACAATGTGCGGGTGATGTTGATGGTTCCAATGGGGGTGTCTCGGATGGGCGTTTGGAGTTGGAGACGGAATTCGCTCGTCGTACCACTTCCAGAGTGCCTGGCCATGAGGGCCAAGATGAGTCGCAGGGTATTGGAGAAGCGTGGTTTCTATGTGGCCCCGGATCTGGGCAATCAGGAGGTGGAGGATTTGGCCAAAAGAGTTAAGGCGGCCAATGATGGTCTATCATTGGCATTTGGCGAGTGGCAGAAGAAGAAGAAGGTGAATGTGACGGAAATAGGTCGAATGAGATTATGGATCCTTGCTTGTAGATTTATCTGAGCTATGTGGTCTGACATTGAATGAGAGCGATGTGAGTTTGGACCGATGTCTGTGGGTGATGACTATATCGTTTGCAAGATCTAGAAGTGCTGGTGGCCATTGTCAAATTGTCTGTCGGATGTTGAGACGACGTTGTGGCTCTTTTGGGTGGAGATGACGGTTGAATGAGAGATGATAGAATGGCCAGTGATGTAGACTATGGTGACGGGCCAGCAATGCGGTATGGTGATTTTTGGGTGTGATATTGTTGTATTCATTACTATTTTGATCTGCGTGGTGTTGAACGCGATCGTCTTGATTTTGGATTGAGTCGGTCGCGTTCATCATTTGCAGATTGTGCTATTGATGGACTTTGAAGTGAGGATTTTATGAAGTTGTTTTCATCAGCTTGGTTTTTGCTAGCATGGCCTGTCGGTATAGCATTTGGAACGATCCAGCTGTGGTGGTTGGGTGGCAGTGTTGCAAGGCTTCGTCAGACTCGCTTGAAGCAGCATGAGGTCACTTGTGGTTCGCTGGGAGGCAAAAAATGTATAATTTCGACACACTGCATCGCAACTCGGGGGTAGGTGGTGCGCAAGGGCATGCGCAAGCAAGGGGTCGATGTGGCTCAGATGACCAATTGACCTAGATAAAGCAGACTGGTCGCTTGATTTTTGGCACCGAGGAAAGGCGCCTTAGATGGGCAATGCGGACTTGGATGTTGAGAGAAAGCCACTTGCAATTGCTGTTGGGAAACCCAAAGTGCCCAGAGTTTGAGGGTGACAACGCTTGACATACATGAATCGGAATTTAATCTATAGCATTGAGAGTTATGGGTCATGAGTCGGGTATGAGACTCAGTCTTGGAGACTGTCACCTTAGCTGATTGCTTGGGGAACTGAGTAATGAGTAAAGTTCAAGTTTGTGATGGGTCAAGCTTAGGGCACCAGATGACTGATAAACCATTTGGTATCTGCTTATCTGCAATCGGAACTGCAACTTTCGGATTCCTGCATGTGACCAGAAGAAATTGACTTTGTAAATGAATGCACATTGGAGTTGAAACGAAGTAGTGTTGGCTCCAGCCACAAATACGCGTACATACAGACATACATACATGCGTACATACATGTTTACGGACCTTCGTATAAACACGCGGTCAGAGGCATAGAATCATACATTGTAGCAGCATGAGGCGCAGTGCCGATGCGGTTAAGAGAACGGATGGTATTCTTGAAAGGCTTTTGCGTGGGCATGGCCAAGGACACTTGCAGCTGGCAAAAGTGAACGGTCGGTTGGAGAAAGTCAACCTGCCACGGTTCGCCAATGAGGCAGCCCTGAGTTTGTACCGAAAAGACTTCAAGAGACGTTGTCGCGAACGCGCGCAGAGCAGCCAAAGCGGTGCGGTCTTGACGAAGGGTTTTTTTCGGCAGTGGGTGTCTGGGAATCCGGCAGAGTTGTTAGCATGCTACATCATCGGGCGGTTTGCAGCTGCCCCTCAACCTGGAAGCTTCCAAGTTTGTGGCGGGGACCTGCGACCAGAGGATGCTTAGCCAGTAAGTGGCGAAATCGGTGGAAGTAGCAACAGCACAACCATGATAATCGAATCAGGTTGTAGAAACAAATAGTTTTATTCATTTTGCGTGGTTACGGCTGGGCTTCTGGAGTGAGCTTTGAAGTGGGTGTGTTTGTCAAACTAATGGCAACCCATGTGGCTACCCTTGTTAGGTGTTGGCAAAGTTTCTCCAGAAGATGACGGAGCCGGTCACGATTTGTTGTCCAGATCAGGTTCGTGCAGAGAAGTTTCGCAGCAAACACGACGTGGAAGGCAAGCAGGTGCAAGCATGGGTCGCTGTGTCGAATTAGGTTTGGCAGGAAACATGAAAGTGTGTTGTTCATACTGTTTGAGGCTTCTTGGCGAGGCCGAAAGAAACAAGAGTTCGAATTACTATTGGACAGGAGCACGTGAAGTAAAACATGGACTTTCCAGGTTTTTGCGGGCTTGGCAAGTGGAGCCACTATGTATGGAGGAAAGAAATATGCATTGCATCGAACAAATGTAGGTTGGTTTAGTCGCTGCTAGGGTAGCAGCCATTGAAGCAAACTAACTTTGGGATCTTCAGGTGCCAGTGTGGAGGCTGTTCGAATTGCTTCAGTTGCACCCGACGACAATCGTGCCGCAAAATTGCATCCCACATTTGGCGCCTCAATTGCGCGGGATTGCGCTGTGGTTGGCAGCGCTGTGGCGTGGGCCGGAAGTGATGGACCGCTTGTTGGGGGAAATGGTTTCAAGTGTCGCACAGAACATGCAATGCAGACAGTTTAGTCAGAAGCAGCTCATGTTCTGGAAGGTGACGGTCGAAACATACCCACGTTTTAGACCGCAGAACAAATCTCCCAAACATGCTGCCTGGTTCTGAGAAGTATCTAGGTGGCTATGCGTAACTTGTGCGCGATCACTGGGTAAGGGAGTTGCAATGTAATGGCTGAGTAGTAAAGACCTGATGGTTATTGGGGAGCTTCTTTGTGGCGGTGGTCAGGAGTGGTTTGAGCGTTTTGCTGCTGGTGTGGGAACATTTGATAGCGAATTGTTCCGATCTACTTTCAATGTGTTTGGGTGGCATTAGTGCAGATGTTTTGGAGAGTGGGCTCGGGTGCTACGCATGGTTTGCAGAAAAGGAAGCATCGGTGATTAAAGAAATGTGGGGATGAGGAAGCAACAGCAGAAGGTTCATCATGAGGAGGTAAATATGGTGATCGATTAGCTTTGGGAACACGGTCCTATTGGCAGCGTCATATGCATAGAGTGTAGGGCAGTTGTTCAGGTGATGGAGAACGGTGCATTGTTGGGTGGTTCAAAGATCAGGGTGTTTTTTCGGTGAAACACCATTGCGACCTATTGCAAGGACAAGATGGTAGTTGTATTGGGGTTGCAGTCCATGCGTAGGGCAGGAGAGCATGACCGTGCATTGCTGGGCTCTGAGGTGGAATTGGGTTACTCGTCGGAGTTGACGCAGGAGTTGTTAAGGTTCGCGGCTGCTGGAGTTTATATTACTTGCAATTCCAGAAGCCATACGAAAGCCCATTCATACGACCCAAATTACATACATATACGATTATATAGAGGAATATCCCATTGATCCCAGAAGTTTGTTTATCTTGCTGTTGGCGCAGGAACTCTGCAGTTAAATCATGGGCACGGTGGTCTGGTTGATAAATTCGGTGGTATGTAATGTGGCATGATGGGCACGCAATGCGCTGATGTGGGCTTAAAGACGGTGAATGCGTGTGTCGAACATGCTACCTCATGATCACGTTGCATGTTTTTGCAACTCATGCAATCTTGCAAGAATTAGCATCTGAAATAGACTTGGTGACTGCGAAGTCTGTAAGAACAAAGTGTGAACATCTAACTCTTTTGATTCCTTGTCTGCTGGCTGATTGCGGCCGCAGATGTGGTAGAGCTGGTGCGGCCCGGGAATCAAACGCTGTGGTTGTGTTGCAGTGTAAGTGAGGGAAATTTTAGTCAACGTCAGAAAATTGCTAGAGTGACGGGGATCCAGCCACAGAACATCATTTGCTTTTAGGGTTAAATTACGTAGCCGGAATAGCATCGAACTATGCAGACATGTTTGGTTACGATTAAAAAATTACGTACACACCCAACAGAAAACAACATGCCACCTCGACGTGATGGACGGCTTCCGGTCGGGCGAGTAGAGGCACGGTCGAGGTCACCACGGTCAAAGTCGCCAGTGGCAGAGGAGAAGAAGATCAAGACATCGCGGAAACGGCCAGGCAAGGTGCGAAGGGCGCAATTGCACAATGCAGAAAAGAGTTTGGAAGGGGAATTTGAGAAGGATCAAGGTGAGGAATCCGCCGACATGAGGTCTCTTCAGAGGCAACTTGAAGATTGGATGCATACATATGTACATATGCACATACGTTCATACGTGCATACAAGCATACATACAGACATACATAGCATAGCATAGCATAGCATAGCAGAACATAGCATAGAATAGCATAGCACGGCACGGCACGGCACGGCACAACATAGCATAGAAAAGCATGGCATCGCAAAGCATGGCAGCAAAGCATAGCAAAACATAACATAACATAGCAAAACACAAACATAGAACACTGTAACATCACATAGCAAAACATAGCGTAGCATACCATGGTATAGCATACCATAGCAAACCATAGCAAACCAAACATAACACGCGTAATCGTTCCATAGCATTTCATACCATAGCACACCATAACATACCATAGCATATCAAACATACCATAGCATACCACAGAATACCAACACACTTACAAACATGCATGCATGCATGCATGCATGCACATATACATACATAATACGCACTTCTATGCTTGGAAATGGGGATATTAAGAGATGTATCTATATCTATATATGCGTATATAAAGTGTTTATACACGGTTAAGCACGTGTTTAATCGTGAATATATATATACATGATTATACACGGATATATGTATGTTTTTTTTTGAACTAAAAGGGCGAGTTGTTGTCAGTTTCGAACTGTTTTTGTGGCAAGGAAAACATCTTATCTGATATCTTTGGAATCCGTAGATGTAAAAAAGGAAGGTTTACTGTATAGGAACCTCTTTTTTGATGCAAAAAAATGTTTTCTTTAGATGTTTCTTTAACAATCTAGTGGTGACCTGATGCCAAAACCCACTAGCCACTACAATCAAGGAGTGGAATTCATTCCTTTTTAAAAAGTTGTTGTGGGAAACGGCTCGCCCGCAGCATAGGGATTGATAGAACTGACATCTGGAAGCTGGCACGGAATACCAGCGTTGATCGATTCTGCTACCAGCGCCAACAGCAGAACTGTGGATACCACATTGGTTCACTCTTTGTCCGACGGCATGGATTAAAACCATTCGCCAGGGAATATATATTGGAATCATTATGTTTCATTATCTTATGCTGCTTGGTAGTTGCACTTTCTATTTCAATTGTCAACCTTTTTTTTCTTTCCAGAGAACCCTTGACCTTTACTTTACTAATACCCATCCCCTCAAGATTGCGGACCCCAGAGTGAATAGGTACCATACGAAAGCAGAATTTCCCAGGATGGTCATTGATATTGAAGGCCATGTGCAAGGTTTGTATATTCTATTTTTTTAATCACATGATATTTGTACTATACAAATATATTTTACATACATAAATATTATTTACACAATATGTATGCTGTAACTATAAAAGTTTTATCACAGGTCATGCCAGTAATATTGTTTTTGGTTTTTGATTTAGCACAGTACCAAACAATACAATATAGTTTGTTTTCACGTAATTAGGTATGGTGTATTTTCTAAGATTGGTTTGTAAACATGCAATACAACGTGATATAATGGAATTTGATTGTTTAATGTAGTATTGCGTAATATTCAAAATGCAATGCAAGTTAAATGTTCCAATTTAGATGTTAGCATAAGATAACCCAATTTCATACAATGACATAAACAATGTAGGCTATAATAGAATATAACATATATACTGCAATGTGATTTGATACAGCACAATGTTAGCTGATATAACCTAGCATGATTTAATATAACAATACATAATGTAATGGAATGTAATGTAGAATCACATCATATTATACTATGTTCTTATTTCATGATATGATACAACTATGTGGTGACTTTGTCCCGTAGCTGGATGTGCTTTGCCGGACCAGGTATTTTCATGTCGATGGGCGCTCTCTTGCTAGGCAATATGTTGCAGGATGCGGTCAACCATGAGATCGGTGTGTTTTTGGGTGTCAGCTTCCACTTTAGGAACTAAGACCCTCCAAGTACAGAAAAAATGTAGTATAACTAAGACTATAATCCTTTTTTCACGTTACGTGGAGGGTCTAGGTACATTGAAACATTGGATTGTTGACCCATAGGCTGAGATTCCTGGAATGTTTAGTTGTTGGCAAGTTGTTGGAACATGCTATATGACTCATTACTCTGCATTTTTAACATCTGTTATCCCTCAGAAGCCAAAAAATGTCATCCAAAGCTGCCGGAGTTTGAGGTTCGGTTGCTCCATCAAGTTGGGCCGGGTTTCATCATAAATTGCAGCCCTTACCAAACCACCCTTGCAATGGGTCGAAGCGAAATGATTTAGCTGATGTTTAAAGTCAGCCATGC